CCTGAAAGTAATAGAGATTGATCAAAATTAGGTGGAAAGTGGAAGGGGTGTGTAAGAAGAATGAAATGGCAGTGAGATGAGTTTTCTGTTTTTAATGTTTTAGCCTAAGGGCAGACTCCAGTCAGTATAGTGGGGCACACAAACTTAGCAGCTCAATACCTATAAAGTGAAAAATGAAATCCCAAAAAGGACTGAATCAAGAATCAGTGTATAAACTACCCAACTCTTCGACTAATCCCTAAACCATTCGTATGATACTGAATCCAAGAAACCCTGCTAAAGCTAAATGAAGAGAGATTCTAGCTGTTGCCATGGAAGAGGAATTTGAAGTTTAAGGAGCTGAATCTAGTAAATTGCCTGCTTAACACCCAGCAAGGAGAACTTTCTTCTTAGGAATATAACAGAATCTGAAATCTCTACAATGTATTACTCACAATGTCCAGGATATAATTCAAAATTATTAAACATGCAACAATCTAAGAAAGTGTGACTTATTCACTGAATACTAAAATAATTCATATATTTAATTTATCATATAAGAATTTTAAAGCAGTTAATATAACTTCATTCAAGGATATAAAATAAAATAAACCTGTAACAAATGACAAATAAAACATAAGGCTAGATAAACAGAAACTATAAAAAACTCAAATGAAAAATATAAAACTATCAGAAATAAAACATTACTGGATGGATGTAACAACAGATTGGAGCTGACAGAAGAGTCAGGACATAAAGCAAGAACAATAGAATTTATCCAACTTAAAGAATAGAGAGAAAAGATTGAAAGAAAATTAAACAGTCTCAGGTACCTGTGGAACAGTATCAAAGTAACAAATATGTACTTGGAGTCTCAAAAGTGAAGAATAGAAAGAATAAGGCAGAAAAAATATCTGAAGAAATAAATGCTGAAAATTCCCCCAAATTGGTTAAAGACATAAATCAATATTGAGGAAGCTCAGTGAACTCTAAGCAGGACAAATTCAAAGCAAACCATGTATATGTATATCATGGTCAAACTGCTAGAAAACAAATTTATAGATAAAATCCTGAAAGCATCCAAAGAAAAATAACACCTTACATACACAGAAGCACAGTACAAAATCTACAGGCATATAATTACACATAATAAATGCCAGAAAATAGTGGAATTATAACATTAAAGACCTCAAAATAAAACTGCCAATCCAGAATTCTACATCCAGTGAAAACATCTTCCAGGAATAAAGGAGAAGTAAAGATATTTCCAGAAAGATGAAAACTAAGAGAAACCATTACCAGCCAACCTGTACTATTAGAAACGCTAAATAAAATCTAGTAGAACAACAACAAAAAAATGATATCAGAAGAAAATTCTGATAATAAAAAAGAAATGAAAAACAGTGGAAATGGTCGATGTTAAGGTCTCTTTTTTCTCTTAGTTTTACTGAAATACATTTGATTATTTAAGGCAAAAAATAGTATTATGGCTTATAGCATATGTAGATGTAAGTTGTTTGACAATTATAGCTTAAAGAGCAAGAGTAAAGTAATGGACCTATACAAATAGTCTTATATTATACATGAGTAAAGTAGCACAATAACAATTCCAAGTAGATGGAAAATTGAAGAATGTATACTAGAAAAAATGATGCAAAGAGACATCACTAAGACACCAGTAGATAAGTTTAAAAAATTTCTAAAAGAAGACACAATGAACCCAAAAGAAGATAGGAAAGGAAAACAGAGAAACAGAAACAGGGAGAACAAGCAGAAAAAAAAAGAGAAAAATAGTTGACCTCTATCCAACCATTTCAATAAATACATGAAATATCATGGAATTAAAGACTATAATTAAAAGATACACAAAGGAAAAATAAGAAAAAGCAAGACCCAATTATTTATTGTCTACAAGAGATGTATTTTAAATATTAAAGATAAAGCTATAATGAAAGGAAATGGATAGAAAAACATATCTATGTATATAAAAGGCTAAGCGACCATCCAACCAGCTGGTAGGTATGATGCGCACTGACCACCTGGGGGCAGACGCTCAATGCAGGAGCTGCTGAGCTGTGGTGACTTGGCAGTGGTAGTTCTCAGGTGACATATCCCAGAACCAGAGAGGAGGGAGCCCGATTCCTCACAGGGCTGTGCTATTCCACCTTCAGCCATGGGTTATGTTGTTGCTGGGGCACTGTCGGCCCCAAATCTGGTTTACTGTCAAGCTGTGGTGACCATAGACACCCTTTGAGCTGCAGCGCCGCCCCAGATGCGCTGGCCAGGTAGGGACCACAGGAAGTTGGCTCCAGGGTGTGTCCAGCCCATCTCACCCAGTCCCACCCCACCAGCCACCTTCTAATTAATTTCCTTTCAATGTGCACAAATGCATGCACCGGGCCACTAGTCTATATATATAAAAGGCTAATATGGAAAGTGTCCCTGTGGGAATTCGACTGGGAGACCAGGAGTTCTATCACTCGCTATGACGTGCACTGACCACCAGGGGGTGGAGTGGAATGGAGGCCCCGATTGGCCCTGATCGCCAGCCAGGCCTAGGGACTCTACCCGTGCATGAATTTTGTGCACCGGGCCTCTAGTATCATATAAATAGCACAATAAGGCTGTAATGGCTAAAAACTGGAAACAGACTAAATGTTTACCAAAATAGAGTTCAGGATGAATAGTATTTATAAAAGAGAGATTTTATAAATATAAATAAGTGGGGAGATATGCCATGCTCATGGATTATAATACATACTTGGTATTGTTAAGACATTCAGATCCCCAAATTGAGTAAGCATTCAATCTAATCCCTTTCAATTCTTTCATATTATATTTTATTTTTTTCTATCACCATTTATCCCTTCTATGCTCCCTCCCCCCTACATCTATTTGCCACCCCTCTGCAAACACCACATTGTTGTCCATGTCCAAAGTTCTCTCTCCTTTTCTGCTCAATCCCTCTACCCCCCAACACCACCTCACAGCCTGCCCCTGCCAACACCAGAGCTGTCTGCCTGCTCTCTATCCCTTTCAAAATCCCACTAGGCTTTTCTTTCTCTTTTCCCTTCCTGCCTTTGTCTCTCTCCCTCCCTTTCTCTCTCTCTCATTCTTTTTGATAGAAACTAACAAGTTGATTCTAAATTTACATTCATGCAAAGGACACAGAAAATCCATATTAAACCTGAAAAATAAAGTTTGAGAACTTACACTACCAAACTTTAAGTCTTATTAAAAAGCTATAGGAATCAAGAAAGATGATACTGACAAAAGGATTGACAAATAAATTAATGAAACAAAACTGAAATTCTAGAAATAAATCCACATAGATAGGTAGTCATGGATTATCAACAAAGTTACCAAAGCAATCCAATGGGAGAGAAGTGTCTTCAACAAATGGTTCTGCAATAACTAGATATCCATATGTGAAAAAGCTAACTTGGCCTCAATTCATACAATATGCAAAAGTTAATCTGACCTGATTAATAGAACTAAGTATAAAAATTAAGCTATAAAATTTCCAGAAGAAAACATAAGAGAACATCATCATGGTTTGGGAGTAGCCAAAGATTTCTTAGGACACAGAAAGCAATAAAAATAAAATAAAGAATTGGATAAATTAGACTTCATCAGAAGTTCAAAACTTCCGCTCATCAATATACACAAAGTCTTGTTACATAAGATACATAAAGAACTTCTACCAGTTGGTAATAAAAGATAACTCATCCTCAAAAATACTGTGTAAAGGATTTGAAGAGACTCCTCCCTGAGGAATGTGTATGAATGGCCAATCAGCACATTAAAAAAATGCTCAACATCATTACTCACCTGGGAAATGCAAATTCAAACTATAATGACATACTATTAAGTATCCATTAGAAGGGTTAAAAGTAAAAACAATGACAATGCCAAATGTTGATGAGCACATGGAGCAACTGGAACTCTCAGATATTGCTGGTAGAGGTAAAAATGATAGAACCATTTTGGAAAAAAAGTCTTACTTAAAAACTGAACATATACCTACTCTGTGACCCAGTAATTTCATTCTTAGCTACTTACCTAAGAGGAAAAAAAGCATTTTTCCATGAGGACTTGCACAATGTTCATAACAGGTTTATTCATAATACCTTAAAAACTGGAAACAGACTAAATGTTTACCAAAATGAGAATGAGTAGACTGATATATTCATACAAGGGGACATTACTCAACAATAAAGAGAAATACATTATACTTCTACTGAAAAATATAAATTTCAAAAATATCCTGAGTGAAAGAAATTTCACACAAAACGTACACACACTATCTGAAGTTTAGAACAGAAAAAAATTCATCTGTGATGGAAAAAAATCAATCAGACCAGTCATTCCCTTTTTGAGAAAGATGGCAAACATTGACTGGCAGGAGGCATGAAAAAATTTTCTAAACTGGTGGTACTGTTTTATACTGTTGAAAGGGCCTAGAAAACAACAGTCTTATATATTTGTCAAAATTCATCAAGTGGCATATTTAAGAACTGAGTGGTTCACTGTGTATACGTTTTACCTTTAAAAAAGAACCATAAACAAATTATACATAATGAAGCATTTAGGCATGAAGTGTATTGATGTCTGCAGCTGTCTTTGCAATGTATCAAAAAAATCAAACTGACGGATAGATAAAGGAACAATAGATGCATAGATATAGTAATTGTAAATATATAGTTAACATAGTAAATATAGTAAAATATTAATTGTAGAATCTAGATGGCAGATATATGGTATTCATTCTACAAGTCTTTCAACTTTTGAATGTTTGAAAATTTTAAAATAAAATGTTAAAATTTCCAATGTCTTGCTTTATCTAGAAGAAAGCTGTTCAAGTTTGAGTAGAAGTCATTAAGTATGATTAAGTATAAATTGGCTGCTTCTGAAAATTTGAATTATGAGACAAACAGCACATTTTCCCTATCTCTGAAAAGACTCAACAAGGCTTTTCTCTCAAAAATAGAGAGAGAGAGAGAAAGAAAAAAATCACTGACCTTTTTTCTTTTCCTTTGCTTGGTTTTTGCTGAGTCTTGTCCAGCACTCCCATTCCCGAGGGATCCTGCTGTGGCTTTCCCTGCATGCTGTGGTCCAGAGGATGGAGCTGTTGGTGTAGGAGGAGGTGTATTCTCAGGGGAGTCTGGGTAGGACTTCATGCAAGATCCCTGCCCAAAGAGATGTGGCTTTGAAATCAAGTGACCAGGACTTCTCCTAACATTTGATTTTGTTTAGTATCTCATGAATTTAACACTAGTTGAAGCTTACAAATATACAAACACAACTTATTATCACCAAGTTCACAGGAATGGTGCCTCCATCTTGCCCCTAAAGGGTCTAAATATCTTCATGTATAATTTGTCTAATCACTTAGATATAATCAGGAGTCCTCAGATACAGCTTCTAAACTTCCTGTGGATTTTGTCAGATATAGACATTTCTACCTGGAAGTTTTGTTAGCGTTTAAAACTTACATGTTTCAAAAGGAACCTCTAAACTTTCCCCCCAAAACTGGACACCTTTCAGACATTTTTTTTGTATCAGTGTTGACCAGCCCTCTCTCAGTGTCTCAGGGTCACTGTAGAGACCTCTCTGGCTCCTCCCACATCTAATTCCTTCCTTCTCTCAGAAACCCCTCATATCTATCTGGTTTCATTGGCTATGACTGTAAGTCTATTCTCTCTGCTATGTAGAAGTACTTCAAATATTTAAAAATCATTATACTTCACAGCCTTTTCTACAGGTCAAACACCTCAGGTTCCTTCAACCACTGGTACATGTTTTCAGGTTCCTTCACTCCCTGTTCACTCTCCTTAGACATCCTCCACTGTGTGTCAACCTCCACCCGATAAGATGGTGCCTAAACACTAAATCCAAACAAAGCAAGCTTCCTTACTGTAACATCATAATATCGGCTCCTAAGAAATTTATAGGCAAATAAAAGTCTCTTTTTTACATATGGTATTAATAACCTGTCATCCTATCAACCATACATACTAACCATACTATCTACTCGCCTACGCTTCTCTATAATTTAAAAAAAAATACGCTAAACTTTGTAAAATGTTTTGTTGAAATTCAGATATTGGTTTCTTTGATCTGCATGCCTAGGAACATTATCAAACAGGAAGGATAAAGCTAATCTGGCATAAGGTGTCCTTAGGAAAAACAAGATAGCTCCTAAAAATCATTGCTTCCTGTGCATAAGCCATATGCTAGAAAAAAAATCTAGAAAATTAACTTGAATTACTATTAAACTTGCTAATTTAATATGAGAAACCCAAACTGAAATAGCTCAGTTCTTTATAACACTTAATGCTTAAGAAATGATAATCATTAAGAGAGAATGCATTTTGTATTAACTTCATGCCTTAAGTTTCCAATTCCAATCCACCGTACATAGCACCTCCACTTGGATTTTCTTCAGACACCTATTTGAGCCAAGAAATCTTCAACACTTCCTTCCTTAATAGCTAAGTGTCTAAGGCATTAATTGTCTAATCTGACTTTCTACTACCCCTCCCCAATGAGTCCTTTCCTTGAATATTTTAATCAGAGATTTTTCTTCCTTTGTACAATTATACTGATGCTGCCTCTGAGGCCGAGTATTCTCCCCACTTTTACTGTCTCATCAAAGTCCTATCTCTCCTTCAACACCCAGCTTCCTCTTTGAAGTCTTCTTTGATTGTAATTAGGAAGTGATTTTTACCTTCATTCGGTCTATGCCACGCATTTGGAAATTAGTATATGCCATCTTGAACTGTGTGCTTGCTCATTTCTTTCCTTGTTTGTTTACCTCCCTGAATAGAGATCATATCAGTCTCCAGAGTTCCCGTTTGCATCCAAAGAGGTCAAGTCCTTAAAGCTGGCCCTGATGTTGGTTGCTGATTTATAATGGTGATGAGTAAGACTCTGACTTTGGAGTGGCCATTCTCTTTGTGTTTAGTGAGGTGACCAGCCCTCTGAATACTCCCAGTCCCCCTGAATGTTCATTTTGACTACCAGTCACCTAGGAGGATGGGTGTCTGACGGGCAAGAGGAAAGTTTGGGGTTTGTACTAACATATGTAGTCAGGATGCTTTCTGACACTCCTGCTTGCACCTCCTGGAGAGCCCAGGAGCCCAGCACACATAGACCATTTTTCTAACTGCTGGTAGCTGGGAACAGCGGCTGTGGTTGCTGAGCAGCTGCCCAGGGCTGCTCGGCCACCCTGGAGAACCAAGAAAGGGGAGAAACAGAGAACTTTCCTAGCCATGCAAGCAATCCTTGAATGTTAAGAGGAAACTAGGCTTGTTATGTTCACTGTACATTTCTTCAATTAGAAATGTTACAACAAATTTGTGTGATGTTAATGAAAAGCATACTTATATGCATATTCATAAAGGGAACATGTACCAAAGACCTTTTAAAGGGTGTTCTTTGACATCATAATTTGGGCTTGTAACATAAACAAATAGTGTTTAATCAACCGGGTAATCTTTAGGGACTTTAAAAGTATGTTGACTGATAATGATGTATGAACTTTCCCAAGAAGAAAAGGATTTTTAATAGGTGTAAACATTTTAATTTCTACTTGGATTCCAAGCCAATATGATTCTTTAAGGAGCATAAAAAGATGTCAAATTTTTGGCCTGTAATAATATGCTGTATAGACATATATAGTCATGGACTTACTAAGTAACCTAGAGCAGAGTTACTTTAAGTTGGAGTCCCTAGGGTTCACAGATCCCTTAGATCCATAGAATGGTTTCAGAGGGTCTTTGAACACCCTGAAGTTGTATACAAAATCTGCAAATGTGTTTATGAGGAAAGGGTTTATAGTTTTCATCAAATTATCAAAGGGGCTTATCCATTTTTAGGTTATATGTTTCACCCAACTTAATCTACAGCTTACTTCACAATTATACTTGTAGATGTTAACCTAACTTCTGTGCTGCCATCTCTATGGTTCTTAGATTGAATTATATGAAACTGCTAGTAGAAAAGGTCAAATATTAGTAAATTCATTCAATGGATGATACTACATTTCTGGTTTTTAGGCACAGGCTGCTTTACAGAGAATATTTTTTATACTGAAGTTATACAAAGCCTTAAAGTGGGCACGAAGACTGCAGTCCCCACATGTGGGGATCTCAGCAAGAGAAACTGGATCAGAAGAGATGTGATCCTCACAGGATAGGGCCAATCTACACCAAAGGATAAATGGAGCTGTGCTTCTGTAAACCATGTTTAGAGATGGTTTAATAACTAGAATGTAAAATCATCAATAAATGTCAGGAATTAATATTATATGACTAATAATCCTCTCACCTGTGAGGCACAAAGAGATAAATAACTTTTTTCAATGGTATTCAATTACCAAAACCAGTGGTTCATCTCCCATGGAAATGAAAAATGCCCTATAACAATCTCTCTTTAATTGAAGGGCTAGGAAAGTGAAATAAGACAAGGAAAAAGTTCATAGTATTAAGTGGATGTTAGGATCAAGCACATAGCAGGTTCTCAATAAATATTTGTTTGAATGTTGACTGAATTCAGATTCTTTGAGTAAAGGCCACAAATGCCAACATAACCTTTTCAAAAGAACTATTTGTATAAATATTGGACATGAGGAAAAAATCCATATTAGCGCCAGACAGATTTTTCGATACTTACCTCGGCAGAGCTGTGATACTGAATGAAGGCGGCCGAAATGGCGTGGCCGAACGGGTCTCCTGCCTTGGTTCCCATGTCCTGCCTCACAAGTAGAGCCAGATCCACTAACTAGGAGATCGGAGCAATGGAAACAAAGTCAGGTAACTGGGAACAATAACCTGTCACTGAAGTGGCAAACAAAACGCAGTCCATTCCAAATGTCATTGAGAATACTGTCTGCCTAAAAGTCTGTACTGTGGACATGAGCGCATGCTTTCATTGACTGGTATACGGACTTCCCATGGACAGAAATGATATATGCTGACCTCCAGTGGAGTGGTTCACAAACTTTATTTCATAATCACTAGACAATCATTTTAAAATAAAGATTTCCGGGCTTTAGGCATATGCTGCTTTACAGAGAATATTTTTACTACTGAAATTACACAAAGCCCTCATACTCTAATTCAGTAGGTCTGCTCTGGGGTGTCATCTAGGAATTTACATTTTAAACAAGAACCAAGGAGATGCTAATGCTTGTGGTCTAAAGACCATGTTAGAGAATGGAGTCTAGACTCAGATTTTTGCACCCATTCAAGTAGATTGAACATATTTAGGAAAGTATTTGGAGATCAAAAATAATCTCTAAATATGGCAGATGTGTGCTTGGAATTCAATATTGAGAAATACTATGTAGGGTTTTATTTCTGGTTAGAATAAAGTTGCAAGAAATAGTTACTTTTACCCTAACCACCAACAGAGCTGAGGAAACAAAGAAACATAATTGAATTAAATCTCCGAAAATGGTAAGATTGTCATAGCAGAACTCCTGGGTGTTCTCATCCCTGGTGGAGCAGCAGGTGGAGTCATGGACAGGGCTAAGGAGAAAGCAGCCATGTAAGGGCTGATATGACAGATTAGAATTCTTACCTGTGCCACAGTTTCATATGCTAAATATGCCAAAATTTCCATAGCGATAACATTGGGTTTTATCTCCATACTGCTACAGTCCAACCAGTCTCGAAATTTGGAGGCTTTTTTGGCTAGTTAGTAAAAACAACAACAACAAAAATAAGTATAGAAAATTTAATTTTTGAAGTGCTTTTTTTTGTTAATCCTCACCCAAGAGGATATTTTTCTATTGACTTTTTAGAGAGAGTGAAAGAGAGAGGGAAAGACAGAATGAAACACTGATGTGAGAGAAACACATTGATTGGTTGCCTCCCGCACGACCCGCTCTCCCCAGGGCTGGGAGGAGCCTGCAACAAAGGTATGTGCCCTTGACCAGAATCGAACCCAGGACCCTTTGGTCCTCAGGCCGATGCAATGTCTACTGTGCCAAACCAGCTAGGGCTTTAACTGTTTTAATACTGCAAATTACTATCACAAAGTGAAAAATGTCTCTTGAAAATTGCATATGAAAGATAATGCATACAATATACAATGTTTTTGAAGTTTTATTAATCTAGATATTCTAGCCCCAAGAAATTTCTTATGCATTGGGTCCTTTATTTTATATTCATGATACATAACATAGTATACAAAGCCACTTAATGTTTAGCACTTTTCCCAATATGTCAGAAAGTTTTCAGTTAACAGTGACCATAGCTTATGTTACAACAATAATCAGAAGAGTTACTTTCTTGCCAAAACTTTAATTTATTATTGTGGGGGGGAACCCTGCAAGAAAAAAAAAAAACCTGTGATGAAAAAAGGAATGTACAGAAATTGTACTTATAATACCTTTCAACATGTGTCTCTTATTAGAATAGGCTTAAGGTAGCGAATTTAGAATTAAATAGAATAAACTGATACCTGGCCGGATCTAATACTGTGGTTACATTTTCCTTGTTACAAAGATGTCCAAATTCTTAAACCTGACTCTCAAAACCATCTGGACTAATCCAACCTGCCTTTATATTATTCCCTATGAAAATGTCACCTGGCCTTGAGTATAATCTTCTCTCTGTGTTCAACCCTGTTCCTTTCCCTCCATGGATTGCCCTCCTATCACTCTTTATTCATATGGATCCTGCCCATACTGACCAAAGATATAGTTCCCCACTCTACTGAAAACTTATCAGCTATCCTTTCCTGTCTGCTTATAGTTTCTCAAACCGTATTATAAGTTCTCTGTGGGCAAACATCATGGGTCTGTCTCTCAGTATATCTAACAATAAAGGGAATCTTCCATAAAATCTCTCTGAAGTGCCACAGTGCTAAGCAGAGTCTAACTAGATACAGAGCCTTCATTAGATATTACTAATTTAACTATTAACCTACAGGGAAAAGATTGATAATGAAGATTTTATCATGTCTGTAACATAATCGTCTTTAAAAAACCCCAACAATTACTCTTTTGATTAATCTGGTCCCACAGGTCTATAAAACACTTAACAGTAACTCAAAGCATGATGTTTTGATCCTCACAGATACAGTCTTCATGGATTCCACATACAGAAGAGTTTTTTCCTAAATAAATCACAGAAGACCTTAAGTCCTGCTATCGAAGCGCATATCCAAAGTTGTCAACTGTGGCAGAATTATGGTAATCCCCCTTAAAGCTATCTCCCTAAAGTAACCAATCTTCCAAATGCTCTCTGACATGCAACATTCCATCTAACTAGTAAGCTGCAATAGCTCACAAACACTTGTTTAACATATGTGGAATACTTCTGAAGTTAACGTTAACAGGCAGCAATTTGGCAAGATCAATAAAATGTACCTTATTCATTTCTCCCTCTGACAGACTGTTCAAAACACAGAGACAGATATCTTGTGACTATGCTCTAAAAAATTTATTTTAAAAGTGAGAGAAAGAATAGTTCTTAGTATTCCATCAGATCTGTTCACCTAAGCAACAGCATTAGAACTTTCTCTCTAGATTTTAAGCACTGAGAATACAGGGACAAGAATCATGTGTCCACCATTATATCCCAGCACCCAGAACAGTGCCTGGCATTAGCAGACTCACAGTAAATATTTCTAGGAGAAATTAATTAAAGAATAAACAAACAAACAAATGAAAGATATTTTTCAATAGAAGGGTAGGCTGCAAATCTTTTTATACATCTAAAAAAGCCACAGGGGTCCCATACACCCACTTGGGTAACTGCTATTCCAGCAGCAGGTGAAGATGCTCTGAGCTAATTCCCTCCCTGTAACCCAGAGCAAAACTGCTCAGAGATGGACCCTCTCAGGGTATTGTTGGTTCTAGAAAAGGAGGCACAGATGCTCTGAGTCATGATAGTTTGTTTCCATCAAGAATTGAGGGGGCATCAGAATGGAAGAGTTCCTTCTCCTTCACCCCTCTTCTCAATATCTGAGGAGAAAGGGCAACCCTGGACACTGATCAACAATTTAAATAGAATCGTGAAAGGTTGAAAGTTCTTAGGATTATTAGCTTTCTCATACTACCTGGGGTTTTCAGCCCATGCTGGACAACCATATATAATAATTTCACATAAAAATTTTAGTTACTTGAGAACAGTCTTCCTTAGAGGGCATGGTTTTCCCTAGGATCTTTTATAGTAGAAGTTCTTTCTTTCTTTCCTTCTATAAATATTCATTGGTCAGCTGCGGATTGCCAGCCTTTACATTTCCCCATATACCAGAGGGCCTGGAGGTCATATATCTTCATTCTCTTAGTTTCTCCAACAGGGAAAATATAGAACAAGTAGATAGAATTCTTACCAATAATACAGGCTACAAGACAATGGAATCATGTTTTAACAAATAACTACTAGTCTACAATTTTCTACCCAACTAAACTATCATTTTAATATGAGGAAAAGTTCAGCTGGTGTGGCTCATTGTCTGACTATCAACCTCTGAACCAAGAGATCACCAATTTGATTCCCAGTCAGGGCACATGCCCAGGTTGCAGGCTCGATCCCCAGTAGGAGGCGTGCAGGAGTCAGCTGATAGATGTTTTTCTCTCATCGATGTTTCTGTCTCTCTATCCCTCTTCCTTCCTCTCTCTCAAAAAAATTAAGAAAAATCAATAAATATGAAGGGAAAATAAAGCCATTTTAAGACAAAAATGAGTGCTTTAACAAGGCTGAGAAGGCAAGTTTACATACTTATCAACTTTAAAAAATTTAACTCAGGGATGTATATTAAAATATTAAAGGTGACAACTAAAATAATCAAATAGGATACATAATATCCAAATTGGTTAAGGAAAATGGAATGAAGAAAACTCAATTGGTCCAATAGAACAAAGAAAAGGAAGAAAAGTAAATTAAAAAACACAGTAAATTTAAAAGAGAAAACAAGACAGCATATATAAACCCAGATTATAATTACATTTAAATTAAATTCATCAATTAAAATACAAAGAGACCCTTAGATTGACTAAAAAGAAAGCCTAGATATTTGTTTACAAAACCCACAAATTAAACAAAAGATTGAAAGGAAGGGATTGGAAAACGATTTATAAAATTATAACTGAATTAAAGTTTTTTAATTAAACTTAATATCAGACTTTAAAACACTTTAAGGGAAACAACTATTGACATATAAATATAAAACAAAAGACTAGTGAATTTGACCAGTATCCCAATTCTACAACTTAACCTCAGCCTATAAAGTTCTAGACTTGTTACCTTAAAATGTATCAGTAGCCCTGGCCGGTGTGGCTCAGTTGGCTGCAGCACTGTCCTGTACACCAGAATGTGGCAGGTTTGATTCCCGGTCAGGGCTCATACCCATGTTGCGGAGAGCAGGCAACAGATCTATGTTTCTCTCTCACATCTCTCTCTCTCTCACTCTCTCTCTCTCTCTTTCTCTCTCTCTCTCTCCCTCCCTCCCTCCCTCCCTCTCTCTCCCTTTCCCTCCTTGCCCTTTTTTCCCTTCCTCTCTCTAACATCAATTACAATTTTTTTTAAAAAGAGAGAAAAAAAGATAAAACACACCAGTAGTCCCAATTCATGAATGCTATGACCAACTACTTCAGAGGACATATCTATCACAGTTCCTATATCCCAGTAGTTTATCAGAAGGGGAGGAAGGAAGAGAGCCCAACAGTCTGACCAGTGTGGGTATCAGCTCTGAATCTGCTGGCCCCCTTGGATTCAGCATTCCCAACCACAGCACTTTGGCATATAAAACAGATTCTCCCACTAAGGTTTCATAATGAAGCACCCATGGGTAACATATAAAGAAACATTTTTAAAGGCCCTAGTCTCTCTTCTCTAAATTAAAAAAAAATTGAGCATAATATACTGTTTATACTATAATTATTTTGTAAAGAAAGGAAAAATATTAACTTTGAATCCGATACAGTTTATTATTGAGTTACAAACAAGAAAATGGAGTTATTAAAACTCCAATTATCAAAAAAAAGATGTATTAGAACACTTCAATGACTCTATGTTTTAATGTGAAAATAGCACTTCTGTTCCTTTAAGTGAATTAAATTTAAAATATGATTTAAAAAAATAGTTCAATAGCACTAAATGTTACTTTATAAACTGGAAATTTATACTTATAAAAGACTTGAATGCCATTTTTAAACCTAAAAATTACAATACAAAAACCTTTCATTTGCTGAAATTGCCATGATCTGAAGTGTCATTTACTTAATGCTTCACAGATGTATGATGCCAAATTGTTAGTCAGACTGCAAAGTATATTTAGTTAGGAAAAAAATCTTCCAAAACATGTTTTCCTATATTTTACTGACATTTACATGCGGCACTATTTGAAATGTGTCATTTATTTGCACTTTATGATCTATAAATGAAGCTCTCATTTTCTTTTTCCAAATCAAACACGTTGTTATTGTGACCACATAACAGCTCTTTGTTTAAAGACACCATTGTGTGTATAATCCCTCAAACCAGGGTCATGTGCTACTTTGTCAGATTTTTAACTGGACTTTTCATCACACTTACTCTTTGACCTTTACCCCAAGAGTCTTAGTCATCACTGAACGGTTGCTGGGAGGATGTTTTGCTACACAATTGAGCCCCCTATTTATCACGAGCCTTAATGTGCTTGTAGTGAGCCTGGGTGCATTGTCGGGACAGCACTAATTTACCACCAGGTCAGTATTACAAGAGCACGAATAAAGAATTTGGCTAACAGTTCATTGGTCTGTCCTGTGGCAATATGAGTATGTGTAAATAAATGGAAAATTTGGTATCTATTAATATGTATAAAGGGCTTTTAAATGTCATGACTGTACCAAGAGAGTCCATTATGGATCAAGTACAATCAGCAATACTAGAGCAAATATGACTAAGAAACTGAAATGAAAATGGGAATATTAAGACAAAGGAATTTTTCTGACTAAAACCTATGTGAATAATTAACATAGCTCTCTGTGTATTACTCAGACTCTTTAAAATCTCTTACTACATTAATTGCAAAACAGTAGAGTGGGGTAAAACCTTTTATAGGCTCCCCAACAATGCAGAGGCTGTTTCTGTAGCAGTTATAACTATGCATATATTAAATTCACCAATTTCCAAGGAACAGATTGTGTCATACTTTGCTATATCTGTAACACACACTCTCTTAAACATATAATGAAGTAAAGTTAAAGGCTTACTTACAGAAACTCAATTGTCGACTTTCACAGAATTCTGCATATTGGGCTGAATCCATAATTCGAGTTTGTCTTTCTGCTCTCTAATAGACAAAAATAAAAAAGCACAAAAACACTTTGAAAGCAACTAGACTATTGTATATGTTTTCACAGCTAAAACTTAGAACTGAAGTTCCATGTTCCTTGCCTTACTCTTGGCGAATAGATTAGCACTACCCAAAATACCATGACACATAAAATTAAAAGTAACCGTTTTGAAGCTTGTTTCTTTTGGAAATAAAGTTTAAAATACCATTTTCCACTCCTCTGTTATTGTCATTATAGTGGAAGAAGAAACCAAAGGACCTCACTTCTCAGATTGTGCGCTTCTAACTTTTCTAAACTGTACCATCCTTTAATTAAAAAAAAAGAAAAGAAAGAAAACTGTGAGAAGACAATAACCAGTCACATAGGAAAATTGTTATTAATGATTACGGTCCATCTGCCCTAAAGCTGGGATTTTTAAATATTAAATAGGAGTCAACAAATGGGATCCATAGATTTCCCTTCAGTTAGAACATGGAGCCAGAGCTAACAAATCCATATTTTAAATTGCAAAGAAAATAAAGAAAAAGGTAAACACAACACAAATCCTTTCATCTGAGTCCAGGTATGACTCACAGTTTGGTATAGCTTCACTCGTGGGTTTCTGATTCAGTAGAGCAGATGTTTGCTGCTTCATTGTCCCACACGAGGTAGGATAATTATAATTCACCCACAGTTTGGTGGGAAAGAATACGACCGCTTCCGCTTCCTTGGCAAGGGAAGCATTTTGAAATGAGACAGGCTGGTACTTCTTGGAATGAATTTCTGGCCAGTAAAGGAAAAAAATTCCCTGAGATTTTAATTTTTTTCTGCTTTGGAAGGACTTTCAGCAAGTTTTCTTTATCATAGTTGTTGGAGTACATAAGTACCACTTACAATGTCTGTGGATATTTTTATATTTTTTAAACTAAAATTATTCTGTTTTTCATTTCATTTGATTGGGGGGAGTGATCAACTTAACTCCAATGATATATCAGGTGATGGGATGAGCAATGGTACACTAGTTTCAGCTCAATACGGAAAAGATATAGACGGGGTGGTGGGAGGCAAGTTAACATTTACTAACTACTGTGGTTCCTTGTGGTTCCTTCTAAGACCACTGAGTACATTTTCCCTTCTTTCTCTTCCTTCCCTCCCTCCGTCTCTTTTTTTTCCTTTCTAATCTCCCACACACATACAAACACATATATGCACTGACACAAACCAAGACTTTTGTTTATTTACTCTATAGTTCAAGTATCCTTTCTGAGCACATGCAAGTAAATATTACACGTGTGTGTGTGTGTGTGTGTGTGTGTATGCATCCTTGTGTGTGGATACGAAACATCATGGTCCTTAAGGGTACAATACTTTGTGAATTTTATGTACTTAGAAGTATTTTTTGATATGTGAATGCATGACTTAGTTTTGTCCTTTTTAAACGTAACTGAAACAATTTTTTGCTACTGGGGAACAGGAAATAAGGATGGGATAATTTTTGTGTTTTGAACATAAATCAATTACTATTGTGCTTATTAAAACTTCTAAGACTGATAATACTCTATCATGTCTGTCTGTCTGTCTGAGTTTGACTATAGCAGGAACTTCTCAGGTTTGAATTTCTAGAAAATATCTGACATGGTAAATAAACAAACATTCACGAATGAACAAGTGCTACCATTTTAGTCTGAATCAGGGAAAATGGCTATCACCATAACGTGGCCAGTCTTTTAAATAGTGATTGTCTAGCATTACTATTTGTCTTCTTTGCTACTTTTCAGCGAGGCAGCCTCATCCACCCAACACATGCTGGACAGAAAGGGCTTAGATAAGCACGAAAAAGACAAAGTTCCGAACGGTCTTCTATCAAGTTGAATAATCAAGATTTGACTTTTACATCTATGCTTAGGTCACTGATGTCCCAACAGTAAGCATTTCTAGAAATGGGAGTTGGGAGTACTTATCCTAAGAGGTTAAGGCTGCCAGGCTGCCAGCTATAATTGAGGTGTGTAGCTAGCTGGAAGATTCTGAGCCACGAAGCCTATCATCTGATTACATTTAAGAGACACTAAAAGCCTTTCAACGATTACAGCTAGCTTCATTCCTTCTCGACACTGTCTTCAGTGTCTGTTCTCTTTTCTTCATTCAGCATCTTAGTTTGATTTCAATTCCTCTGTCACCTAAGCAGTAACCTTAGATCTCGGGAGCGCCATGAAGCTGGCCCTCGGGCATGCATGGAACCATTCACTAAATGCCTAGCACACAGCAAACAGTGCAAAGCAGTTGACTCAACAGCAAAGATTTATAGGCATACAAAATGGTGGCATGTTAGAGCTAGAGGGTGGCTTAACCTTCACCTCGTTCCATCCTCTCATTTTAAGGATAAGGAAATTGAGGTCCAGGGAGAATTCAGAAGTCTAGGCCTACTGATTCCTGAGCCACCTAGTTTCATTATAAAAAGCTGTCTCCAACCTGTAGTACTTTATACCTCCAATAATTTTCTTTGGAATTCTGTAAACTCTATACATTGTGTTACTAAAACATGTTCTGTAGCCCCTATAATTAACATGCCTAAACTATTCATGAGAAAATAAAATTAGTGGGGCCCTGGTTCAGCAAAGAAGGCACAGCCCAGGGAGTGCCGAGGGCACAGGTTGTGATGAACCTGACAGTGTACTGGATGCTGCAAAGGTGCCACAGGTGTGTGGAGTCACTGTTTCTCTTCCACCTTCTGGAAGCCACAAAAGGCGGGGGTGCAGGACCCCAGAGGTGGTATCTGGCTAAAAGTTGCCTTGTCCATTGACCTTGGTGGGGCATGAAAATATTACCATTTTCTATGTGAGCCATGGCCTGGAAAAGCATGCACACTGCTCGGAGCGTGGTGCAGTGAGCTCAACGTGAAATCAGACACAGCCTGGGAGGTGAGGATGATGAGGGCGACGCCTCTCTCTTCCCCATGAATTGTTTCAAATAACCAAAAAAGAGAGACCAATGTGCCTTATAAAACAATTACCGCCATTCAGCATCTGCTTATACTACCTCCTGTCCTTACACTATCACCTTAAGTCCTGGGGAAGAAAGGAAATACCTAACCTTCATGGACTCTGTGTTCTTTAAAAACAGTAACTATGTTTTGCTTCTATAATCAAGTATTGGCCAATGTTTAGCTTGGATTTACTGGGCCTCGGTAAATGTTTGCTGGCTCGCTGAATGACTGGGCAGATGGATTGACGGACTGAGGCAAAAGAAATGCATATAAATTCTTGTTGGCTGATCTAAAATCAGAAACTGTAATATCAGTAATCAAACTGTATGAATTCCAGAGAGGATAGGTAGTCTTTTTAACCAAAGACCCATAAAAAATCAAGACACTGGCCAATGATTAAATAAGTTTGGCTTTTATTTTCTGTGTTGTCCTATTTCCACTTTCCCTCTGCTCTATGCAGATGACCTGTTCTAATCCCCACGGAAGCACACACTGGCCGCCCTGTTTCACTCCTGCCACAGTAAAAACATCTCTGGAAAAGATGCAAGAGGTAAAAATCACACACCTAGTAAAGCAGCATGATCAGAATAACAATGCCTACTCTTTACATACAGCGACATCATAACCTTTAAGATAAACAGTTAATTTAAAGCATACAGTTCATAAAGTAAAACTTGGGTCCTAAATGACCTAGTCTGTGGTATATCACTGAATCATCACAGTAGGTTTATCATAGTGTTTATTCATACTGAACATTCTCAAATTACTCAATGTTCTTCTGATCTCAGACTGCCACATGAATGTAAGGTCACTGCTGGGTTAGTCAGCTCTCGTATCTGCGAGACCAGTTGTCATCTGTCAGCTCCACCCACTCCATGACTTCTTTAAGCATCAGCAGTGCTCTTTTTCTTTCTTTCTTTTTAAAAAAATTAAATTTATTGGGGTGACACTGGTCAACATCAACATATAGGTTTCAGGTGTGCGTTTCTATGTTATAAGATCTGTATATTGTGCCGTGTGCCCACCACCCAAAGTAGCAGTGCTCTTGAACACTCAAAAATGTGCTACACGCTCAGAGGTTTTTCTGAAATGGAACTTCACTAGTGTTACCATACGGCAAAGGATTACCATATAGGGGCAGACATAGAAAAATTACTTTTGAAAGAATTACTCCTAAAATTTTCTAAACACTCAACAATATTTTTAACATGAATTGGAATGGCTCTTAAAAATGTAAACCAGAATAAGTTATGTTGTTAATTGTTCACTCATCTCACTACCAAGAAGTTACAGCCTTTTCTGGTTATTGTGCAACAAACTGAGAAGGCGAATGCCATGCCAGATGAACTCGTTTTGGGGTCCTACCGAAATGAAAACAGGGAAGCAAATAGCTCTACGATGCAGTACCTACTACAATTTGTGTGTTTGCTTAATCTTGAACACAGCAGATGCTTAGTATATATTTGTTAATTTAAATTTTTGGTTTAAAGTTTTTATTTCAATTAATGTGAAAGTGGTTGTGTCTTTGAATAAGCCTTTCAGCGTGACAGGCAGCGTCTGCCCTGCCAGCACCAGTTTGTGTCCTTGCGTCTCAGGCTGGCGGACCTGCGCAGCACGCAGTTCACTTCCATCCTCCACAGGCTTTCAGTGAAGCGTATGAAAGGTTATAGAAGCTCTGTGCTGGCATATCTCTTGGCAGCTTTTCAAGACACATGACATTTATCTTTCCTCAGCAATACTGAATCAGAGAACATAACTTTAAACCGAGATGAAAGTTTCTCTGCTCTCACTTCCACCTCAGATTTTTAAAAAAATCTTATTTTGATTACTCTTAGAAGTCTTACATTGGAAATGCAAAGTCCTTTCTGCACAAAAAAGGCAAAATGCCAATGTAACCTACCAGCTTCTTCATGTTAGACAGAAACTGGTTGCTGGACTTGAAAACTTCAGATGGAGTGGTGGGCAGCGGCAGCCAGCAACCTGGCAACATGTGAATTACGGCATGGCATGCGTGTTCATGTACGTTGTGGTCTA